TTGAATGCCCATTTAAGTTTAATAAAAACTTTCAGTACAATACAGGTACCATGTTCTTCTAAACTTAACTTATTGCTCTTTCACTTTATCCAAATATCTTTAAAAGTTTGAAGCACTCTCCAGCAAGGAAAAACGAATCTTTTAAGATATTACTTAGTTGTAACCAAAACCAACCAGTCTCCAGAGAACTTGATTTACCAATCTAAAAGACTGATTATAAATTGACTTAAATCACCCTAATGCATAAGTTAATCAAAAAAATTTCTAAAGATGCTCCTCCATAATGATTTTTTAAGGATCCTTTTCAGTTCAAGCCGTCATACACTACTTGCCAAAGATGATAACCAAAATGATGTCCAATGTAAATAAGTACTCACCTCATGTGCAGTAGCAGGAACTGTGTCAGTAGAAGTATCATTAGAATCCACTGAAGCATTACCTATATCTTCTATCTTAAGCTGAAGGCCGGCAACAGATTGTTCCAACTTCTCAAGCAGTTTCACCTTTAAGCTGTCCACCTGCCAAAAGGTCGGCAATATGTCATCAAATGCACATCAATGTAATACAAAATACTTGAAAACTTATTGGAATTTCCTTTTTAATGTATTTGCTTTGTTAAGATTCCACTAGTCAATAAAAAGCAGTATGCATCTATGCCTCAATTACTACAAAACTTACAATGATTAGGATGCAAATAACAACAAAAATAAGAGAATAACCTCATTTTCAAATGTCTACCCATTTCATTTTGAGCAATATGTTCACACCATTACTAACAATCAAATATTGAATACTCTTTCTTTGGTTAGAGCCACAACTTGTTAATAATCTGAACTGACAAACTTATATAAATAAATAAATAAAAAGTTCAGTACAAACTGGGAAATCCAATTGCTTAAGAAGCACAGCAGCCTCAGCTCTTGCTTGTATAGATTCAGAATCCGAGAACAGCTTTCCCTGAAGACAATAATATGAAAAATCATAAGATACGTTTCATAACAAACCTAGATAAAGTTACAGTCAGTAAATTTTTCAGCATGGAATTGTGATTTTAAACACTTGGCTTTTCTAAAAATCTGATGGGCTACAGATCAAGATAAAGATGTCAAAAATTTTCTGCACTACATTAATGCTGATAAAAGTCACACATCAGAAGGTGAATGTCCATTCTTCTGTGAAAGTATGCTTAAGATAGTACTGTAATAGACCCCAGAAACACAAGTAACGGATAATAAGTAATAACTTTGACAGACAGTGAAAATGTTGTCCCTTGATTCATAACTATTACTTATTGTCTTATAGGATCCAGCAAGAACATCTCAATCACAAGACTCACACCAAGCCCATGCACTCGAAGAGCTTTTTAGGTCGACCCATGCATCACATTACTGAAACATTGTATTCATCCAAAGCAAATGCTACCCAAACATTTCAACCAGAACCCTTTCACTAAAATAAATTATCAACCACAAAGGGTAATACCGGACTGTTACATAGTACATATAGAATGTTGGACATATAGCAAACCTAAAGCTAATCCTACATCTGAGATATAGGCATAATACCTAACATACTGCATAATTAATTAAGATTAAGAATTTCAAATAGTGATGGTACTACTTCCACAAGAAAACTACCTCTAACACCAATCTATGTATTAATGCAAATGCAGGACTATGTTGTGTGCACCTAAACACATAAACTAAGACAGCATCCAACACAGTGGCACTAACTCAACTGCAGAAACTTAACAAGAACCCACCAAAGAAAAATTGCAAGGCAAGTAAGGAAAAGACATCTAATGGCTCCTGGTTAGGCATGGGTCGAAAGAAAAACCAGCCTGATCATAGTATAAAATGAAATGAAAATAGGAAGAAAAAGATAAACCTGCAAATTCTTAATAATTATGGTCACTGCTTCTTCAGATGCTCGCTTACAATCCTGAAACGACGAGTCTCCATATGCCTAATAATAAAGAGTCCAACCAAAAAGAAACAAGACAATTGAAAACAAATTCCACAAAGTGAAAATTAGTCCCACGTGCAAAAGATCATAGGAGAAAGAAATTACCTTAAAAATTGGCATTGCTCCAGTATAGAACTTGACCGCATCAGCATATGCTTCTGATTTAATACACTTTCCAAGTCTAGCAGGTAGATCATATATGAACTGCCTTTCCATGGAAAATGAAATTTACGTCACTGCCAGACACACTTAAAACCCTTAGCATCATAAGACCATAAATATATACCGCTTCAAACCTGAACTTTACGAAGAAGGTTGCGTGTGCGATGCAACTTTTCTATGTGTTCTCTCTTCTCAAATAGAGAAGTGTTGACTCCATCACTCCTACATTGCACAGACATTATCTGCAATGATTGCACTGTGAATGTAAGCCATTTGGATGAAAACACAGTTTCTTTCCTTTACACTCCTTTCTTCCCTATATTTACTTTCAAATGAAAACACAGTTTCCGCAAGACCTGGGTAAAAAAGAAAAAAAATTGGATGTACCTTCTCAAGGAGCTGTTCCATATTTGCCTCCATGCTAACAATATTACTTTTCATCCTGTTGGAAAAAAATAACAATAAAATTGTTAACGCCAAAACATTATAAGAGACTTTTGGTTATGTTTTCTAGAAGCTGATACACAACAAGCAAAAATAGATAAATGATATGGTAGTAGCAGAGATTTAGCCAATCATGCAAACACAGACAAATAAGTAAAAGTAAAAACTTACTGTTTAATTGTATCTGTCGCGCTAATAAACTTGTTGTAGTTCTCATATACTAACATTTGTAAGTCAGTGTCAAGATTCTTTATCTCAGCAGCCATTTCAACATGTTTCTGTAGAAGCCCTTCCAAATTTGACTTGTGCACCTACATAGTTCATACAACTGATAATTATGATTCAAAGTTCAATTTCTGCCTCATCTTCAATAACAAAATTTAATCTATTATGATTATTGAAATTACGAATATCATAACTCATGGTATCTCATATAATTAATTATCCATCATACATTCCATCAAGTAAATGGATCCAAGTATGCAACCATGTTATCTGAGAAAGGAGTAGATTACTGTATGACATCTGTGTTCATATAAAGTCCACTAGCCTGATTCTAAACCAAATGCCCATTTCCATTTGTGCTATAAGAAAAAACAGTTTCTTTCCTTTGCCCATGTTCCCAGCTCAGCACTAGACCTCTGCTTCTTAATCGCAAGTAATACCTCTTTTTAACTCTACAAATATTAGCTACAAACATGAAGAATCTTCCAAACCATCTGTCTCTAACAGAGCTACAAACATCAAATTCTTCGCATAACACTAAATCTGCCCTAATTATCAGTCATTTGGTAACCCAGTAAAGTTTGTTTGAAAATTAAATAAACAAATAAGTGAATCCTCCATTTGCAAAACATAAGGGAGTGAGAAATAAGAGATCGTACCAGGAGATGCATGTACTGGTCGGGATCGAATGAGGTGGTGTTAATGGCGTCGAGAGTGGCGTACTTGGATGAGGAACTAGTGTCTGGGGAGGACATTGAAGGATCTAGGGAGTAGAAGCTCGATAGCAGATCCCTCATTCTTTTCGCCTTGTCGTCCAGTGGCACATCGTCCACCTCCATTCTTAATTTTTCTTCTTCTTCACTATCTGAACGGATTCGACTCCGGCTAGAATAGAAAGAAAGAGGAAGACGACGAGAGAAAGAGCGAGACAAAGACACAGAGAAGAAAAGAGGAACACGACGAAAGATAGAAAGCGAGACAGAGACACACAGAGAAGAAAGGAGACGAGAGACAGCGAGAGAGGAGAAGAACAGAAGAAATAAAACGCAGAAAAGAAGGCGTTTGAAAAAAAAAAAACAGAGGGGATTAATTACATTTTTTGTCACTGAGTTTGGCTCAAAATCAAATTTGGTGCCTAATTTCAATTTTCCTGATTTTGTACTGTAGTTACAGGAGTTAAGAGCATCCACAATCATCCACTATAAAGCTATTTTAAGAGTTCTTTGTAAAATTTTAATTCCAACCATACTTCTTAATTTAGGAAATCATTTTTTTTAGTTTAACATAAATGCTTCCTCTTCATATAAAATAATAATATTAAATAAATATTTAAAACAACATTAAAATAAAGCAGCATTTAATTACAAGTGTTCATGGTGGAATAGGCTGCGTCGTTAGTGGTCGATACCAGCAACACAGCAGTATGTTGTTTTCTCCATTTTTCCTTCTTTGTGTTGCTTGCAGAAGCTTTTGTTTTTTTGTTTTTTGTTTTTTGTTTTTGTTTTTTTTTGACAGAGAGGAAAATGGCCCTCGGGTGCCTAGAGAAATTTTTGCCGACATGCAGTTCGTCGTATTCTTCATAGTGGGGCCTCTCACCATAGTGATTTGAGGGTTTCAGATGAAACCGATGATAGAATTAATGAATGAGGGGGGAAAACGGATTTCCCTTAATTTGGATTCGAGAGCATTGCATTAAGCATATCTCAAATCTCTCAATAAAAGCACCAATTTGTGGGAGCAATTTTCGTTCTACAGGAATACTCATTTAAGATTTCGTCTTCACACATTTTTGTGGGACAATTAATCTTAGGCAGTCCTTCCACCATGTTCTTCTCATGTAGGGTTTTGAAGCCTTTGAAACTCAAATGACCATAACGAAGATGCCACAACCATGTTGGATCTTGCACTCTTGTCGAGAGACACTTCTGGGCATCATACTGAATGTGCAGAGGGAACATATGATTGGCTGTCCATTTTGCTTCTACTATTAGGCCTTTCTCTAGATGATGAATTTGACACTGGCTTTGCGGGATGATGATGATATAACCCCTCTCTTGCTGCTGGCCCATACTGATGAGATTGCTTTTCAAATTTGGGATACAAAACACATTAGAAATTGTCTACACAATGTTGTTCTTCATATGGAATTTGATATCCCATTTTCCTATGACAGAAATGCAAGAGTTGTTCCCAAGCTTCACAGTTTATCTGAATGTTTCTTCCAAATCATAAAATAAAGACTTGTTTCCACACATGTGATTGCAGCAACCCAAATCTAAATACCAAGTATCACCTGATGAAATCTCCTTCTTGTCGATGTAAGCCATCAAGAGTATTTCTCCTTCAGTCTTAGCGAAATTTACCTTGGTTTCCTTCTCTTTGTATGGGCATTCATACTGATAGTGGCCAAGCTTGTGACAGTGATAACATTCCACACTTGCCTTGTCAAATTGTGCTCCTTGGTTGTAAGAAAGTTGGCGTCCTCTACCTCTCCTGCTTCCACGAAGTCCTCTACGTCCTCTACCTTTTCCTGAAGAAGTAGTTCCTTCATGAGTACTGACCTTCAAGGCTTGCTCCTCCACAACATAGCTGGTCATCCTCTGCTCATGAACTAACAGTGAGCTTTGCAACACATCAATCGAAAGACTATTAATGTCATTTGATTCTTCAATGGAACACACCACATAGTCAAATTTGCGTGTCATTGAGCGAAGGATTTTCTCAATGACTGCAACATCTTCCAAATTTTCTCCATGGATGCGCATCTTGTTTGCAATTGACAATGTTCTTGCAAAGTAATCATTTACTAACTCTTCTTCCTTCATATGAAGAATTTCAAACTCTTTGTGAAGAGATTGGAGTTGTGCACGTTTCACCCGTGCAGTGCCTTGGTACTTCGTCTTCATTGAATCCCAGATGTCTTTAGTAGTGTCTTTCTTCAGGATGGTTTTGAGAATGGCACGATCGATTACTTGAAACAAATAATTCTTTGTCTTCAAATCCTTCAATCTCTGATCATCCAACGTCTTTCTCTGCGCTTCTGTCAAAACAGTCTCACTAGTGTGCACATCAATGCCGATTTCCACGAGAGTCCAGTACTCCTTGGATCAACATACTCCAATGATCATAGTGACCATCGAAGCGTGGAATCGTAGGTTGCACAAAGCTGTTTTCATAAGCCATTGAATATCTTGCTGCGGCAAGAATGAAAGCTACTGCTTTTTCAAATTAGACCCCAGTGGGGGGCTCTGATACCAAATTGTTGTAAAACTAAAAACTGTGTTTGCTGCAGAATGAGTAAAAGGAATGCGATGCTGATTCATTGACTTAAAATCTAATGAAATACAAATGCAAATAACTGAAAGCTAGAAAATAAAGCAACCTCTAATCCCACGACTAACAACTCCTAATAATCTGGGATTCTCTTAAGGAATAGGTAAACACAACAGACTTCCTAACAAATAGGAGTTTATTGAAAAACAAACGACTAAATATCTAACAAGCTGAACACACGAAACTCAAATATAAACTTTTCTTATGAGAAAAAGACTTTAAACTCGATCAACACCTGATCTCTTTTGAACTCAAACAACCATCTTGTACCAAGATAATTAGTTGACAACTCTAATTATTATATTTAAAGTTTATTGCTCTGCCAACACTTGGTATCGATTTGTAATTGCTAGGGCTTGCTCACTTCTCTGCACTAGTACTTTTAATTATTGTCATTTTCTTTCAAGTTGTAATTGCAATGAGGGGAACTAGATTGAATCAATGAAGAATGTGCTTCACAAAAAAAACTTAACTAACAGTTGGGTAAGTGGCGGCTAGGTTAGGAAACTATGCTTATGTGGAGAAGATTGACCCCATGTTGAAACAATGTAATTAACATCAAGTAAGCAGTTTTGTAACTTGTGCTCCAACTAATGACTTAAAGATGGCCGATTCCATGGTTTGCGATAGTAGTACAGCATCCCTCGACTATATCAATAATGAAATACATTCATTTCCAGTCACCTCTTAACTTGGAGGAACGTTTTGAGAGATATCCTTGCCGAATAGTTTGTACTTGAAAATATATTCATAACAATAATGTAACTTAAATATATAGGGCTTGGTTTCAATAGGACTGGATAATATATCGTGAGTTAGAGGTTTTTTCCCCAAGTCTTTAGAAGCCATTTTACAAAGGAGTAAATTTATCTTTAAATTTTTGAAGATAAATTAAGTGAGAAAATAAGGAAGGGAGTGAAAATATCAGCACTCTGAAAAAAATACATATCACAAGCTTGTCAAATCAAAATTACCTCCGCGATATTGATTCTTAAGTATCCAACAAATAAAAACAAAGAGATACTTGACCGCCACAACAATAAATCGAAATTAGTTTCTTGGTTTCAGAAAGAAAAAAAGAAATCAAATTCAAAATGGAGCTCACTTGTACTTAACGTCATCCCAATGTAATTGAAAGAACCGTTGACAATTAGTCGGACATAGCAAATTTTATACAATGCTAGAAGAAGAAGCTGATGAAATTAATTACGTAGATTGAACAATTCCTAGTTGGACTAAGCAAGGCCATACAAAACACAATCAGAACTACAACTGGAAATCTTGGGAAGAAGACTGGGTCAAATACCAAAAGAAAAGTGTACATATTTAAATAATAATTACTTGTCAATTCTAACCATGCATAGAATTGATAAACAAACCAGTACTCAACAAAATGAGTAAGCAAGGGCATAACGCAGCAATGACATGTGCTAAGATGAAAAGCAACAAAACATGGGTCTTCTAGTGATGAAGAACTCTTCCTCACTTCGGTATCTTCTAAGAAACCCATCACCCATCATCCATATCCTTAATAAACACTATGCCAAAAATTGAAAACAACGTCCGTGGAAAACCATCGTGATTCAAGGTGAAAAAGCAACGTTTACTCCACCGACATGCTTTAAAAACACCCTACCACGGCGGTGATTCACTGTCGTGGATTATCCATGTCACTTCTTGTCCAAAAGCGATATCGTTCGAGTTCCACCGGAAGAAAAATCAAAGTTCAAAAGAATATTCTACGTCCCTATATCTTAAAAAGCGACGTAGAAAGTATTATCCCACGTCATTCTTTTCAATAACATAGACGTTTTTTAATAACATCTATGTCGCATATTACTTGAGAAGCGACGTGGTATATGTGTCTTACCATGTCTATGGCTTTAAGAAATTTGACATGGTATGTGTCTTATGATGTTGATTTGTTTGAAACATTACCCCTTAGCTATTATTAGAACTCCAAAATAGTCATGATGTAATATTTCTTATGGAAGAGTATACGATAATTATTTTGAAGTGTTAATAACAATTTCCTTCATTGATTGAAAAAAAAAAAAAAAAAAAAGGAGAAAAGGAAATAACAAGAAGAAAACTCTATGTAAAATTATAATTGATTGAAAGATTATACTATTAGGTGTTGGATTTGTAGGCATGACATGCATATTCTCGTTTTGGCTCCAGTAGCCGGCCAGCTTGATTTTAAAATTGTTCCATACATTTATAATAACCAACAACATTATAATTATAAGAAGGATTATTTGTTCCACAACCGCTCGACGGATAACCTTCCATTTAGGACAAGCCACGAAAAAACATTATGCATATGACAAATTTATAGCGTGTGATTGATTTATATATTGAAACAATCCAATGCGCTATATATATCATCACAAGGTTTGGATTTTGTTCTCCCTCCCTAACCTAAACGAAAGTTGCCTGGTAGTCCTTATATATACCTCCTCGGAGAGAAGAATAAAAAATCCCGGAATCCTAAATACCAAAATCTTCATTGCCTACATTAATTCGATTCTCTTCAAGAATTAGCTAGATAGTACATATTAATTAGTTTGATTAAGTGTGCTTAAAGGGTAATTAAGGCAGCCATGGCTCCAGCAGCTGCCGGAGAAAGGTCTTTAAAAGAGACACCCACATGGGCTGTTGCCATTGCCTGTGCAGTTTTCATACTTATTTCTATAATTATAGAACAAGCAATTCATGCTCTTGGAAAGGTATGTACCTAATAAATACGTATATATACATGTATAATGCAAGATTTCAATGTTTACTTTTATAATGACAGTGGTTCCAGAAACGCAATAAGAAAGCTATGCTTGAAGCTTTGGAGAAAATAAAAGCTGGTCAGTGTAATTTTCATATCATTACTTACATAATGCTGATAAATAATTATTTTAGCTTTTTTCTTTTTTTCCTTTCTTGTGATGATAATTTCTCCTGGCTCTCTAGACCCTTTGATATATATAGTACATCCATGCATGCAGAGCTCATGCTTTTGGGATTCATATCTCTACTACTTACGGTGGGCACACGATATCTTCCAAAAATATGCATCCCAGAAAAGTACGGAAATACGATGCTTCCATGTGAGCTTGAGAGCAAGTATAAAGATGATGGGGATGGCAAGGATGATGACAAAAACAAAGGAGGAGGAGGAGGAGATGGTGATGATAATGATAGGCGACGAAAGTTACTGGAATTTGCTGAAACCATGATATGGCGTCGAGTTTTAGCCGCCCCTAGTGGAGGAGACTCCTCTGCTTGTTCAGAGGTACGTACTTAATTAATTCATTAAATCAACATTAATATTATAATATACACATAATTAATAAAATGAACGTAACTAATTAATTAATGATCCTTGCCGCCCCCATCTCCTTAGAGCATCTCCGCCGCTTTGCCAAATTGTCCGTGGAGATATGACATGTTGAGGGTGTGAATGTACATCGGAAAATTAAAGCTTTATTTTTTAAATGGTTTTGGGCCTCGGATATTAAGTTGAATGCTCACATTATAATACGGGTTCAAATTGAGTCTCGGATATTGAAGAAACTCCTTTTAGTTTTCTTACCGTTTGCAAAATGAATTCTTCTTCTCAAATAAAATTATTTTTCTTTCATTTAGAGTTTCAATTATGAATTTTTTTTCCATCTAGTTAATACTGATTAACTAGAGAGTTTTTGGAAACTAGAAATTCGTTGGTAAAAATAGTTGGAGATGTGGATTAGACCAGTTGGTTAGAGAAGTGAGCATGCCCCTCCATACCATTGCTTACATACAAAATAAGAAAAATAGTTTGAAGATTATTTAATTAAACTAAATATTTATTTCCCTATAAAACTATAAAACAATAAAAAAAAGATATAAAAATAAAGAATATCAAACAATAAATATTATCATATCAAACACACCGTCAAAATATGTAATAAGTCAAATTGTCACGTATACCATCAAATTCAAATATAATTTTTTGCATTTGATGCTCTTATTATAAATAAATATTTTGTACATGTGTAGGGTAAAGTGCCGCTGATATCTCCATCTGGGATGCACCAATTGCACATCTTCATCTTCGTGCTTGCTGTTTTTCATGTTCTGTATAGTGTCCTTACTATGGCACTCGCGCATGCCAAAGTAAGTATACGGTACCATCATACTGTGACACATACGACTGTGCTTTATTTTATACACACAACACAACATGGATTTGAAATTAGAATTTAAAAAAGGAAATGTATGTTTTCTTATCAGACTGTCTGACAATATAAATTGCTCGTATGACACAATGAACGAGACCCTCGATCATATTTATTTATTTATTTGCATATTATCTAGATTCCCTATATATATATATATATGTATGTAGAGCATGGCAAGAAATTGAGGAAGTGCAGCTTGTGTAACAATAATATTAGCCAATTTTTTTGATAAAATATGAATTAGCCTATTATTTATTGTGGTAAGTAGTTGAATGGGGTCAGAATTTGGGATCCAATAATGAAGCATTAGAATATATTTATATACTTCTGCATCTTAGAATATATCGACACTTAAGTCTTTTCTACTCGTAATTTTGTGGCTTGGCAGTTCTCTAGCCGTGTCATGGAAATGTGATATGAGGACTGGACCACCTCAAAATCTTTTTGGATAGTAGAATTCCCATTTAGATTTCAAATAAAAAGTTAATGAATTAATTAGAAATCCAAAATTTTCCCATCGTTTCTCAGAAACCAAACTTGAGAAAAGGGAATCTATATAATCGGCTTTTATGTTGACCAGATGAAGAAATGGAAAGCTTGGGAATCAGAGACCTCGTCCTTGGAATATCAATTCACAAATGGTATTAATTAATATTTTATTATTTTTACTTAAAATAGTTGTTCTTTTAGTCTTTGTTTCATGCACCTTTCTCCATCTCTATCATTTTTCTAACATTTTTCCATAATTTCTGAACTGATTCTAATTACATTTTTCTTAAAAGAGAAAATAAATTCTGAAAACAAAAAACCGAAGTGCTACCAAACGAGTCCATGTGATTGAACAATTGCAAATTATATATATCTTATTTCATCTCCCAGACCCTTCAAGGTTCAGGTTTACTCGACAAACTTCGTTTGTGAAGCGCCACTCAGGCTTTTCTACAATGCCTGGAATAAGATGGATTGTAAGTTTTTCTTTATTTGAAATTAACCAAAGCTCTTAGTTGCTATAACAATAAACTCTTCCATACATATGTACATTGTAGGTGGCATTTTTCAGGCAATTCTTTGGTTCAGTTACGAAGGTGGACTATTTGACCATGCGCCACGGATTTATCAATGTGAGTAATTATATATAAAACCATTTGTGATGTAGTTTTGGCCCAACCCTAACTACTTTTTTATTGTGAACATGCAGGCACATTTTGCTCCAAATAGCAAATTTGACTTCCATAAGTATATTAAGAGATCCATGGAAGATGACTTCAAGGTCGTCGTGGGTATTAGGTCTCTCTCTCTCTCTCTCTCTCTCTCTCTCTCTCTCTCTCTCTCTCTCTCTCTCTCTCTCTCTCTCTCTCATCTCTTCCTTGTACTACTAATTATTGTTTGTTAATTTAATTTATTGATTTTGCAGTATACCACTATGGATTTTTGCCGTGGTGTTTTTGGTTCTAAATGTTCACAGTAAATCTCTCTCCCTCTTATATCTCTCTTCCGAAACACAGAGATCACAAAAAGCACGTTTTAAATTCTTGGTGGTCAATCTATCATTAATAATTTTAAGTACTGATAAATAAATACCTCCTATTTTACAGAATGGCACACGCTCACTTGGTTGTCATTGGCGCCCCTCGTCGTAAGTGCTAGCTTCTTCTTATTCTTCTTCTTCTTCTTCAAGTCCTCTATCATTAATACTTTTGTACTGCAGATTCTTCTTCTGGTGGGTACAAAGCTTGAGCTTATCATCATGGAGATGGCTCAAGAAATGCATGATCGAACTACAGTTGTTAAAGGCGCTCCCGTTGTAGAGCCAAGCAACAAGTTTTTTTGGTTTAATCGCCCTGAGTGGATTCTCCTCTTAATTCATTTCACATTATTCCAGGTGAGTGAGGGCTCAGAGTTCATATACATCAACATCATATGCTATATATAAATTATCATTATATTATCAGACTGTAAATACGGACTAACCATTCGTACGGTCTAAGATTCACAATTTTACAACATAAGTACACTATTTTGGCAAGACAACATTGCTCTAATGCGTGCCTGCATCCATACAAATCTTACGTATATATACATATAGGAAATGCTATATATAATATAAGGTTTCTAACAATTAATGGATTTGCCTGCTGCATGCACAGAACGCTTTCCAAATGGCGTATTTCTTATGGACATCTGTAAGTGATTAACCCTAAACCAATACTAGCTAATATTGTTCCTTTTCTTAACTAAGAATTATTCAGAGGAACTAAGTAAATTATTATATTGGTAATTATGTGCACTCTCTGAACTGTATAATACTATGATAATATTTGCAGTCTGAATTTGGGTTCACATCATGCTTCCACGAAAACTTGCCTCTGATACTGACAAGGGTTTTCCTTGGGGTAGCCCTACAGATCCTATGCAGTTACATTACCTTTCCTCTTTACGCTTTGATTACACAAGTGAGTATTTCAAAATTAGACATCCTCTTTTAGAAATATGCATGTATGCTTTCATATTCATTTCATCTTTTATACAAGTGATAATCTATTACTCTAAAGTAATGTAATTTAGGGGAAGGGGACTTAAAACCAAGGGAGTTGGCTCACTAGCCTGGCCAGCTGACTTAACCCACATTTGCATATGCTTTCATATTCATAACACTATAGCTAAGTGGTCATCAGTCAGTCTTTCATATAACACCCAAATTTGGAGGAGCATTTTAGTTACAAGCACTGAAAAAATTGTTTAAGTTTTTCTTTTTTGAGAAATTAATTTCTCTATAATATATTTAATTATCCATATTTATGCATGCATGTATCGTATCTTAACGTGCAGATGGGATCTCACATGAAGAAAGCAATTTTCGAGGAGCAAACGGCAAAGGCTCTTAAGAATTGGCAGAAGGCTGCAAAGCAGAGAAAGAAGTTGAGGAAAGCAGGTGATGCTTCTTCCTCAGGGTTTGTAAGTGGGGAAAATACACCAAGCCAGGGTTCATCCCCACTGCATTTGCTTCACAACCAAAAGCACAGGTCCAATCAATCCGACCTCGAAAGCGTCCTTAATTCCCCTAGATCGGTATCTTATCAATCTGAAACTGATCTCTCGGAGAGGGAGGGCTCCGCACATGATGGGAATGGTATAAGATCAGAAGATCAACCTGCAGCACTAAGGAGAGAAGGATCGCATAGCGTTGATTTTTCATTTGTTAAGCCTTGATTTTTTATTTTTTATCCTTAGCCAACAACTATAATTCATCAAATTTTATACAAAAGAAGATAAAGGGAGAGATGCATGTTCGAACTCTAAAATTTAGTTTAGGGATATATTCTTAAACCATTATCAGGATTTAGCTTGTTGATTAAGTCATAAAATTTAAAATGCTCAAATTTTGAGGAACTTGTTTGCATTGAAATTTGAATTCAGGCAGAAATTAGATCAATTCTAATACCCTAATCAACTATTTAGCACTCTTCTGGTTGAAATCATAGCTATAGTTGAAGTCATTTCAACATTTAGAAATATAGCCAAGTTCCCTTTTCAACCAAGATGAAGACTGATCTCCAAAAGATCAGGAAATATTCTGGAAGTTTTGAGAATTCCATTCCATCTCACAATAAATATGAAATTTTCGGTGAAATTTGATTTTTAAGCCCTTATTTTATACCCAAAAAAAGATTCATTATGACTTGCCCGGATGCCAAGCAACCATCTACAGGAACTTCTCCAGGAGAGAACAAAAAGAAACTCAGTAATCCTATGAAAACAACAGATTCAGACCTAAGGTCCCAAGACAAGCACCAAGGCAGAAAATTGTTATCAATGCCTGAAGTGCCTCACATTTGTGAAAAGAAGTGAAACTCCATACTTGTTACAGCAGTCTATAGCATCCCCATCTCTGATGCTCCCACCAGGTTCTGCAATAACACTAACTCCGCTCTCACATGCTTCTTCCACTGCATCTTTCCAAGCTGTTCGTAAAACAAGCATCAATCAGATTAATATAAAGGCTCCTTCATGTTTTTCCAGTTTAGTACAAGTTCCTCTCACTAAAAAATTTAGAATTTGACTATTCCTTGTATTATGGATTAGTAAAACTATATAACTTCATCTAGACTCCAATAATTATCAAATAGTACTCCTCTGGCCTTTCAGTGTTAAATAATAGAAACAGAAGTTATTGCAAGAGCTAGTAATTACCGAATGGGAAGAAAGCATCACTGGCCAAAGCTGCACCCTTGACCTCTTCTCCTGCTTTCTTCAAGGCTATTCTTAAACTCTCCAGACGGTTTGGCTGCCCACTTCCCATACCCAACATACAATTATTCTGCCCATAAGTTCAGGATCAGATATTTGTCTAAAAGTACCAACCAATTCAATCAAAGGAGGGGTGGGGTTTTAAAGGTGAAACAAAGAAAGACAACCTTTGCTATTACAATTGCATTGCTTTTGACATGCTTGACGCACAACCATGCAAACTCTGCATCACCAAGCTCACTTTCTTGTGGAGCCTTCTGAGTAACAACTTTAAACTGTATATCTTGGGGAGTTAAATCATCCGAGTCCTGTGCTAACCACCCACCGCCAACCTGTCTAAGTGAAAGCTTTCCTTTCTCATTTTTGTTTGCCTCAAGGATCCTTAGAGTCTTTGATTTTCCTCGGAGGATTTCAAGCCCTTTCTTTGTGTACTTGGGTGCAACCACAATCTCATAGAACATCCGAGTTTCACCATCTGTCGGGCTTCTAAACTCTCGGATTTCCTTAGCAAGAGCCTGCAAACATAGCAAAACCAGAGCTTAGGAAAACAGAGCAATACCGCAAAATAGGGAAATATATTACCAAGTTAAACTTCTCAGTGCTAGCTTTTCAGACTAAATCAGTTGGCTCAAGTTAAACTTGTCCATCACTTGCGCATGCAGAACTTTCATTGAGAAGAAAGTGACTTAGCTAGCCCTTGGAGTCTTGGCTTAAGCAGTCAAGAATTGAGTGATTTTGTTCAATTTTTTTTCAGTACAAAATAATAATAGTAAGGATTAGGGAAGTGCATAATAAATTGGATCTCATCTCATGTATAAATTCCAGGTCAGACCCTGAAAACTCCAACTCACCTCATCAACCTCTATGTTGAATGCTACAATGCCACCAAATGCACTCACGGGATCTGCTTTGACAGCAAGCCTGTATGCTTCAAGTATATCATTACGTGAAGCTACACCACAAGGATTTGTATGCTTCACAACTACACAGGTAGGATTCCTAAACTCTGACACACAATTCCAAGCTGCATCGGCATCTAAATAATTATTATATGACATCTCCTGCATGCAGAAAGTAAAAGGTTTCAATGCTGCTCATCCCTATCAAAGATTTATTCTAAGTAGAATCCAATAGATAGGAACATGTCTTGTACCTTCCCATGGTGTTGGATAGCAGTTGCAACACCACCAGCATTGACCTCAGAAAGACTCTTGTCAACATAAAATGCAGCCTTTTGATGAGGATTTTCACCATAACGAAGGGGACTTTTGAGCAGTATAGGCACCGTTAAGCTCGGACGGAATTTGTCTTCAAACAAATAAAGAAGGCTGTCAATCTATGTGGCCCATCATGACAAGAAAAAGATAAAAATGAACTAAAAAGTGCATTTCCAGAGACATTACTATCTCCCCCTCTGTCCTGCTCTCTCCCCCTCACCACACAAGCTAACCCCTTGTACTATATTATGAACATCAAGAGTATTGGAATCTATTAGATGAATCCCCCTCCTCTCTTCAAGGTCATTTCCACTAACTCATAGTTCTGTTTTATGAATATCGAATAGTTGACTCAAGATATTGCAATATACCTGATGATTTGACATGTCAATTTTGATTGTAGTGTGTACTTAATAATTTAATATGCAAATTTATAAAATATAAGCAAAGTTAGACTGTATAATTCACCCATAAAACTAGCCTTACGAAGGCTAGTTTATAAATAAAAACAAGCAAATCAAAGAAGTGCCTTCTGTAGTCTGCTTCCACAGCCATTCTGAAACTGCAGAATCATAAGAAGCAACATGCTGGAAAGCCTTCCATGCAAGCTTCCTTCGGAATTGTTGATCAACCTTGTCTCCCTTAAGATATTCCAGCAATGCAGGATAGTCTTCTGAATCAACCACCACCAGGACATCTTTGTGATTCTGTTTAACAAGAATATTCACTTTGGAACATCAGATAAAAATACTGAAACAAATTTACATCCTAGATATTATAATAGTTATTAGGATTGTTGTTGAGAAAGTAAATTATGGGCCATACTGTATAAAACGTATTTTACATTCCTAGCTAAGCCAAATGCAGAATCTATATGCATCCATCCCTGGTGCTAGCTGATGGCAGGGATTTTGAAAAACTCTAGTGCCAGCCAAGCACTCAGTAAAACCTAGTAAGATTTATAAAATTATGGACCAAAAATATGCTAGCACTTCCATTCTGATAAACAACCTTTGCAGCTGCTCTAATCATGGCAGGACCACCAATATCTATATTCTCAACTCCATCTTCAAACTCTATTCCTCCTGTTGAAGTAACTTTTTCGTAAAAGGGGTATAAATTCACCACAACCACATCAAAAGTACCTGTTCAAATAAATTGTAGAAAATTAATTATAACACATTTTACACGAGAGAGAGAGAGAGAGAGAGAGTCATGCAGGCATGGTAAAAGAATTTACAGTTGAACTCACCAATTCCATGTTTACTAAGAGCTTCCATGTGATGCTTTTGGTCTCTTCTAGCAAGGATACCGCCATGTACATTCGGGTGTAAAGTTTTTACACGACCATCAAGCTACAATACAAATCTAACGTCATGTTACTAGTTCACAGAATACAGTTAGAGCCCAATTTCAGATATTTCATAGTGTGAGTTTTCCACACAAGGAAAATCTGTCTAATGTAATCAAGAAAAAAACAAGATGCCATACCATCTCCGGGAAAGATGTAATTTGTTCCACTTTAGTGACAGACAACCCAGCACTTTCTAAAGCAGATGCTGTTCCTCCAGTCGAAACAATTTTATACCTACAGTTCATTAAACCAACGATCACGAAAAACATATAAAGTGTCTTTATTTATTCTATTTGAATAATGCAATTGAAGTAAATAGTGTCAAGCTGACTAGCAAGTAATTGAGAATGTTTTACTCCCTTATAAATAGTAGTGCATAACGATTAACAATGACATAATACGAGGTGATAATCCTTAACCACAGCAAAGAATCAATATTTGGTTTTTTAAAAAAAAGGTAGCCTCCTCAAAATTACCCCAAGTCCTGAAGCCCATTGCCCAATAAAGCAAGATCTTTCTTGTCTGACAATGATATCAGAGCAAGCCTATTACCTGAAAAAAAAAATTACATGAATCACAAATTAGGCTTCAACTTAATACTGGATAAAGAATAATGATAGAAAGAGAGGGGGAAAAAAATGAAAGCACGAAAGAACAAACCCAGATAACATAGATATGCCAAAAAAAAAAACCACAATTAAAACATAGCACAAAAAAGTAATAAGAAAACATAACATTGGAAAAGCACAAGTATACCGGAGGCAGGAAATTTGGAGTCATGGGTTGTCACTGTAAAGGTATCCTCAGCCGCCATGGCTTTAATTGTTCTACAACTTGAATGCAGCAGATGCGCGTTTCTGACTGAACAAGGCTGTATGCATAGAAGGACAGAGAGAGAGAGAGAGAGAGAGAGAGAGAGAGAGAGAGTTTTACGCATGTACAAATATAAACATAAATATATGTATGAAGATACGAAAAGAAATAAAGAAATTGAAGAGGCAGATACCGTGAGAAAAGAAGAAGAAGAGAAATTGGTTTGTATTTGCTTGTTGGAGGAGAGCAGGAGAAGATTGGTGTTGGGTGTATTGGCAGCAGGAGCAGCAGGACCAACAGCCAGACCCAGACCGAGCATCTCTCTTTCGTAACACTTCTGAGAGAGAGAGAGAGAGAGAGAGAGAACAGTTGAAGACAGTAAAGTAGAAAATGCGGAGCTATGTTGCAAATGTGGCGCCGCCGTTTATTTTAAGTGCGGGGAAAACCTAGCCGTTTCCTCTTTCTGTCCAGAAGAGGAGGCTATGAAAAATCAAGTTTTACAAATTACATTTTGACCCCATATTGTTTATGATTTTCACAAAGACTACATAAATGTTCAAATAAGTTCAAACTGACCCCTATCTGTATCTTGACCATATCGGGACCGTATCCTTGGTGTATTGGTTCTGTATCAACGCCATATCCCGTGGTCATCATAATAGAAAAGTCAATGATACATCATTTCCCGTACCAATGCGTATTAAAGCCGTATCGTACCCGCACCCGTATCTAATACTCACCACGGGGAAGCACAGATCAACTGAGAATACTAGTTTATCTCAATGTATGTTGTGGTAACCAAATTAAGTCAAAACCCTAGGTCAAATAATTCATTCCATTTGGGGATTATTTGACCTAATTGGGAATTAATCAACCTAATTGGGAGTTACTCAATTTAATTGGGGGTTACCCAATTAAATTGAAGACTACCTAATTGGGTTGAGAATTGATTCCTAATTCCTACCCCGATTCTCAATTAAATGAGGAGTTACCTAATTGAAATAGGATTTGATTTGATACCTACCACAATTAGGGATTTGATTTACCCTAATAAATCAAATCCCTAATTAATCAAATCAATTCCATAAAGGGGAGGAATAATTCTCTTCCATCTACGGAATTATTCCTCTGAAACCCTAGCCTCCAAGACCATTATAAAAGCATAGCTACACACAAGGGTGGAGGTACGTCTAAATTCCTACTGAAACTCTGCAGAAATCATTTCTCACAAACCCTAGCCACCACTTTCTTTCTCTCCCTTACACAAGGCTCCGGCCACCACACACGGCTCCGGCCACCCGGTTTTCCTTGAAATACCTTACCTAACTTAGGCATCGGAGGGCCTTTGGCCAACACCCCCCGGGTGTGGTCCTTTTACTCCGATCTGTTTTGCAG